TCCCAGGACTCACTATGGATCGCTATGTCGTCCAGGTATGCGCAGGCAAACTCCTGGAAGCCATCAAGGAGTCGATCCACCAAGCGCTGAAAAGTAGCAGGGGCATTCTTCATCCCGAATGGCATAACCTTAAAGTGGTATAAGCCGAACGGGGTGACAAATGCCGACTTGTGGATAGCCTCCCTGGCCAGGGGAATTTGCCAATAACATTTACAGAGGTCGATGGTAGTTAGGTAGTTTCCCCTGGCTATACGATCCAATAATTCATCCATCCTGGGCATGGGATATGCATCGGTCACCGTCTTATCATTCAGCTTCCGATAGTCCACACAGAATCGGGTAGTACCATCCTTCTTGGGGACCAGTACTACCGGGGATGCCGAGGGAATATTGGAGGACTCAATGACCTCTAGCTGGAGCATCTCAGTCATCTCCTTCTTCATCCCTGCTCGGACCGCCTCAGGAATCCGGTAGGGGGCCTGCCTTAAAGGTTGCTGCCCTGGGGTGTCCACTTGGTGAGTGGCTAAAGTGGTGTATCCCGGCTTCTGGAACAATACAGTCTGCTTCTCTTAGAGCAGTTGGTGTAGTCGGTCCCCTATCTGCACCTGGCCCACTATGTCTGACGGGTCCCTCGGGGTAAGCGGAGGCTGTCTGGGTCTTCGCTGGCCGGGCTACAGATAGCTGCTATCTCTTCGGGTCGTTGAAGATATTCCTTTAACATGTTTACATGGAATATCTTCCTTAAGGTTTCGTCGTGACAACTGGAAATCACATAAGTGGTGATTTTCTCTACTATCTGGTACGGTCCCTGCCATGCTGCTTGCAACTTGTCTGCTTTGACAGGTTTAAGCACCATCACCTTCTGCCCTACACAGAAACTCCTTTTTCTTGCTCCCCGGTCATACCAGACCTTCTGTTGTTCCTGGGCCGCCCGGCGTGCAAAATTCAGTTCGCGGAGTTGGACGGTACGTGTCCCTGGATTCGGTGCGAGGGGCCGTTCGGGAGCTACTAAATTCTTGTATCCGAGCGTCCCGGTGCTCGTCCGCTAGTCTCGCAGCTTCGTTAAGATCGCTCGGCCGGCGATCCTTTAACTATTCCCGGTCCTTTTATTCCAGTCCCTCATAAAAATGCTCTAATAAAAACAGTTCCAACACTTCAGCTGCTGTGACTGCCCGACACCCATTCATCCAATGTGTCGCTGCTCTCCGCATTCTGTGAGCCCATTCGGCATGGGTATCATTCGGCTTCTTTTTCGTGTCACGGAATTGCCTTCGGTACGTGTCGGGGGTTACTGCATACCTTCTCCATTGCCCGCCCGGCTAGTTTCCCTGCCAGTATCCGCGGCCAGGCCGTTGTGGGGATTTGATGTAAACCACACTGTCGCTCAAAATCGGTTAGGAATTAGTCGATCCCCATCTCGTTCTCCACGAATGGTTTGAAGGCCGCGAATGGGATTTTCGGTTGTTGGAGGCCCCAAGTGCTGCAGTTTTCAGGCTGAGCTCATGGGCTCGAGCCCTTTCGATATCCGCCTCTGACACCGCCATCAGCTGTCTCACTAATTCCACGGAAGGGTTCGGCCCGTATAGGGGAAGCCTTTCCCGGACAATTCTTGTCTTCTCATCGTTAGGTAGGCTCGTGGGTTCTGCCGTGGTGAAGCTCTGGTCCATCTCGGTCCGGTCCGCAATCAATTCTCTCCTAGGTCTATTGCTCGCGTTCCCACCTCGGTTCTCGAGCAGATCTTTCAGCGTGGTACGTTTCAGCTTCTCGTAATTACTCTCCATCCGTTCCGTAGCTCTCTTAGGAATCCCAGGATGATCCCACTTCTGCCACCAATTGTTACGATTGCCCCCGGTCTAGCAGGGGGGTTGATCGCTTGGATGTCCTGTGTAACAGAACTATGATTATGCCTATAGTTTTGCCTGGACTTAATCAACAATGCTGCTGGAGGGGTTAAACAGAACCGAATGGCTGGTTTTCGTGGGAATATTGCTACTATAACATACAACCCAAAATACCGAACATCAGACCACCCAGGGGAACAGTTAATCGCTATTTTACCTCCCAGTGATTGTGGAGCCGTTCGCATGGTTCAGACGAATCCCTTTGTGCTTAGGTTAGATGGCCGCCATTTCGGGACTTTACACGTGTTCGCGGCCATCTTACGCATGAACGGTGGTGTTTGCCTGTGAACGCATTAGGGATCGACCGATTATCGGTCTGGCCGATATTATCGGCCGATATTTGGTATTTTCAGCAATATCGGTATCGGCCAATTCAGATACCGATATTGCCGATTATATATAACAGGACCGCCGGGCCCATTACAAGCCCGGCGGTCCTGTGGGGGCCAGCAGCAAGCGCTGACTTACCTTGCAAGCAGCTCCTACAGCTCTCTGTGTAAATCTCGCGAGACCCGCGGCCGCAGAGCGTTGCCACGGGTTACCATGGCAACGCTCCGCGCGGCACTGAGCCGCGAGATTTACACAGAGAGCTGTAGGAGCTGCTTGCAAGGTAAGTCAGCGCTTGCTGTTGCTGAGCCACCACTGTACTTAACAAGCCACTGGACCACCAGGGAATACTATATCCCCCTCCCTGGTAAGAAGCAGGGAGGGGGGACTAAACAAAAAAAAACACATTTAAATATTAAAAAAAATATTAAAATAAAAAATTACACAAATTACATCTCAACACACACACACACACACACAACACAAACACACACAAACACACACTGAACACATACTGCATTACATACACACTACTCAGACACACACACTGCATTACACACACACTACACAAACACACACTGCACACATACTGCATTACATACACACTACTCAGACACACACACTGCATTACAAACACACACTACACAAACACACACTGCACACATACTGCATTACATACACACTACTCAGACACACACACTGCATTACACACACACACTACACAAACACAAACTAGGGAGGGGGAACTAAACAAAAAACAACATTTAAATATTAAAAAAAATATTAAAATAAAAAATTACACAAATTACATCACTACACAAACACACACACAAACACACACTGCACACATACTGCATTACATACACACATACTGCATTACATACACACTACACACTGACACACACACACTACACAGACCACACACACTACACAAACACACACTACACAAACACACACTGCACACATACTGCATAACAGACACACACACTGCACACACTACACTGCACACACTACACTGCATTACATACACACACACTACACAAACACACTGCACACATACTGCATTACATACACACACACTGCATTACATACACACTACATTACATACACACTACACAAACACACACTGCATTACATACACACACTACATTACATACACACATTACATACATACACATACACACTACACTAACACACACACTGCATTACATACACACACAAAAACACTGCATTATACACACACTATGTAGCGGAATGCAGTAAGCCTGTCCTATAACCTGCCTGTGTGATTATCTTTTGTACATTCTGCCTGTGTTACTTCTCCCATTTCGTATGTTGTATTGTGTGAATATATGCTATTCGGTAGTTTCCATCCGTACCATATACGTATGGAAACTACCGAACTGATAGACCACCCCAGAGAGAAGTGTGTTGGTAATTAAGGTTGCATACCGTGAAAACCGCAAGTTAACAATGTATCTGGGTGGCCGCCATTCGGCATGCGTACACGTGGCGGCGGCCATCTTACGCATGAAAAGCTCAGCGGTGTTCGGTCGTCGAGTGTCTGGAACCCAAATCGGATACTCAAACAACCGAACATCGCTGAGACCTCCGGAGTTCCGTATCTGGCGAACGGAAAGTCTGAACAACTCCCCATTCGGTAGAAACAAAGTACCGAATGGGGGAATCAGTATCTAGGCGAATATAAGTGTAAAGGGCCAGTATCAATGTGTGTTTTAACTGCCGAACGGAGACCGACCGCAGGGCCCAAACTCATGGAACCCTTTTCGGATACCAACTCGTGTGCGGTCGGTCAAACTTCACCTCTCTATAACTGCCGAACCCCTGGTCTGATCTGGGTGAATTTTGGATATAATAGTCACCCAGATCAGGGCTACCTAGCGGTACTCTAATATTAAGGTTGTATAATGGTTTAGGGGTACATCTAGGTTCGGGGTGAATTGCTGTACCAGTTAAGGGGATTATGACTCACTCTGAGGGGAGGAGAGGTGTGGGAGGTAACAAGCACTGTATTGGCTAATGTCATAATTCATGTTGTTCCCTCCCTTGCATGGGAGCAGGCTTTATAAAGAACTGTGGAATAAATGAGAGTCAGTTCTTCTACTCCTGAAACTGTGTGTCGTCCAGTTATTGGGAGTGTCGTGGGGATATTGCTGTACCTGTTACCTGATGGAAAACTATGCTGTGGAGTTACTACTGACTCGTTCCTGAGCCTCACTAGGATCTTAAGCGGAGAATAGCTGTGAGAGATCAGCTCTCCGCTACACACTACATAAACACACTGCATTATATACACACTACATTCATTATACACACACACTACACAAACACACACTCTGCATCCACTTCACACACACACACACACACACACTACACAAACACACACAGTTCCCCTGTCTAAACACACTTCATCCACTACATGTGGCATGTATATTTTGTGCATTTACCTTTCGAATTAGTTTATTTATTCAAAATAGTAAATGTACAGAATATCGGCAAGATATCGGCTATCGGCCTGAAAGTTTGCAGATTATCGGTATCGGTATCGGCTCTAAAAAATCAATATGGGTCGATCCCTAGAACGCATGGAACTAAAAACGGATACGCAAACAGGCGAACACCGCTGAGACCTCCAGGAGCTCGTAAGTTCG